GTAAAAAAAAATAATAAATTCACGTAAAAACACAAAATCTGTTTTTGCACTACTGTTAAAAAAAAAAAAATAAGAGAAAGAGCAACCTTAAATTGCTTTTTTTGACGACTATGTTAGCACTTGCTTGATTGTCTTCAGTGACTGGTAGATGGAAACTTATGGCAGCTGATACAGTGTCCCACCACGCTCCCAATAAAATAAATAAAATATTCTTAATTGGTTATAAAAAAAAAAAAAAAAGTTTTACAAAAAATTGGACAATCTAGTCTGGCAAATACTCACAATCTATAAAAGCACAGTTCTAAGCCAGGCCCCCTTGCCCGAAACCTAACGCTCTTACCTTTGACTCCAAGTTTGACTGCTAACCTTGACCATAAATCCCCTGACCTTTGACCCTGGACTCCGACCCTGACAAGAGCCCCTGGCCCATTGCATCACCCAATACTCTCCCTCCTCGAAGCACTCGATTGAGTGGGGTCATTACAAGAGGCCTGGGTGGGGTGATAGAGAGCATGGGTAGCCAGCTCAGTGATGACATCATTAATAATAATAATAATAATAATAAAAAATAATAACAATAATAATAATAATAATAATAAACTATGACCCTAATTAAAAAAAAAAAAAAAAGACTACATATGTTACCTTGTAGTTGCACCAGGTTACAAAATGTAATGGAAAAAAGTGCCAAGAGGCATAAAATGATGATCTGACACATAAAAAGGCGACATCAAACACGAGATCAGGTGGAGTCCACCACATAGCTCAGGAGTGGTGCTACAACTGAACAGATCAAGGGAAGACCAAAATGAAACGCCCGAGCAAAATCACAAAGCATAAAAAGGTCTAATCTGATTTAAGTGGCACGGGGGAATGAGGACTGCACTAATTCCAGGTAACTCACTAAGAGAGAGAGAAATAAAAAAAAAATAAAAAAAAGTTTAAAAGGCTCCCTAACGCTAACTCATGACAAGAAGAGCTGGAAGATAAAAAAAAAAAAAAAGGACAATCATGTGAAGAGGTCATGATAAAAAGGCACAAAATCCAAATGAGATTAGGGAAAGGAGTGACGCAGGAAGAAAAGGAAAATCCTGCTTAGGGATAAACGGACATGAGCTCTTACGTCCTGAAACTTGAAGAGTGGAAGCGAGACTGCAAAGTGGGCAGAGTAAGGCGAGTGCTGCCATGTTCTGTCTGGTGATTTATGTCTATGCAAAGGCAACAAAATGTAGAAACAAGACTGGAGCACGTTCTCAGATGAACTCAGGACTTTGTGGACTGCTGACGGATTGCTCCTGTCTCCTCTTAACAGCTTTTTTTTAGGTGAGGGAGAAGGACAGATAAGGGTAGACAAGATTGTATTTATTTGTTTTAGAATAAAAAAAATAAAAAAAAAACACAAGGCAGAATTTTTACGTCACTCCACATCATTTTTTTTATTTATATTTTTAACTATATTAAATTGAATTAAGTGGGTTACTTTGAAATTTTTAAATTGAGAAATTTTAGAAAATGTAAACTTATGCCAATTTACAGCTCATGGGAGAAATACAGTCCTTTTTGTAATGCTAACGTACTGATGACGTTTCATAGATGTTAATGGCAGCATAGTATCTTGTAAATGGTGGGCTGTGGTAGCTTCATGGTCACTGCTGAAGTCCTGAGGCTGCTGGATTGAGCAGCACTTGCAATTGCCAAATGTGAGTTTGCTTTCTGTGGGAGTCCCTGATAAAAGAAAACGCCAGAAGAAAAAACAACCTAGTATCTTTTGAATGCAAATTACTGCTTCACTTCATTTCCTCGCAAGATGTCTTTGTGTGCAATCAAACCTAGATATGAAAAATGTACTGTCTTTAGTTCAAAGTGTATCAAAAAACAAAGACGTTAAAGGGGCAATTGCTTTCTACACATTTTCTATGTACAGGTTTGATCTGTGTATTTGACTCTTGATAGAAAATATTTTACATTATAATACCATGTTCAGAAGGGATACAAACTAAAAATAAATATTGCAAATTATTTGAAAGTGGTAGCTTGGTCTTTTAACTGACATATCTTGTTGGAAGTTGTCTTTATATTTCCTGTGGTGATATTTCTCACAGTGAAGGCAAAAAGTTAGTTTCATCGATATCATCTTCTGTAAGACCTTTCCAGAAGATGTTGTACATGTCTGATAATGTCAATCCAGTTGCCACAAGAGTCAAGGAGTAATTATGCAACTGTATCTTGTCTTTATCAACATAATAATTCCTTGTGATCTTCATTGTGACCGATGTTGCTGTTGTCAAATAATTCAAATTTGTCTTCTTGCAGAAAATATAAAAATCATCAATGCAAGGTAGTCTTAAACACTAAAGACAAATTGTTTAAATGTTGAATTTAAAGATGCAATAGACACTGTCTATCCATCTATTCATCCATCTATGTGGGTGTATAATAGATCCAATATAAATAAATAATGTGCTTTTTGTTGTCATCATTGTATGTTCCCATACAAAGATGCAATTGTCTCTCTGCATTTAACGCATCGCACCTGAGATACACCCAGGTGGAGCAGTGGGCAGCTATGTAGGCGCCCAGGGAGCAATTCGGGATAGATAAGGTGTCCTGCTCAGAGACACCACAATATGTGCAATGACCGGGGATCAAACCCAGGACACCATCTCGGCCCAATATGTACAATGCAATGTTTTGGCTTGCATTAATCATATTGTGCTCACAATCTTGTATTTTTTTTCCCCAATATGTACTAAGGCTTACCTTCTCTAACCTCTGCACCACCACTCCCAGCATCACATCAAAACTGAGCAGTTTAAATTCATCACCCCATGACATTGTATGCAATAAACCTTATGTGCTGCACTTATTTATTTCTTTATCATTTAACTTTATTTCTCCAGGCAAATCCCATTGAGATCACAGCTCTTTTTTGCATGGGAAGTCCTGTCCTGAAGACAGCCTAACATGCATATATTTGAACTGTTAGAGGAAACTGGAGCACATGGAAAACACACAAACATGAGAAGAACATGCAATCTGCATACAGACAGACCACAAATCCAAACCAGGGATCAAACCCAGGACCTTCTTGCTGTGAGACAACAGTGCTAACCACTAATTCAGCTCACTGTCCAATATAAATGCATTAAATTAAATACCACTACTACTAATAATAATAAAAATAATAAAAATACAAAAAAAAAATGTTAGAATTATTATTTCTGTGTAATGCATTGGATTTAAGTACAACGATTACCTTTACTGAGGTTGCTCCAAAAAAAAAAAAAAAAAAAAAAAAAGATAATCTTTGATCTGCCAATGTCATTGTCAGGCAGGAGTGATTTTGTTTCTAAGAACTATAATTATTGGAATCCCTATGTATCTATACCCAATGGTAGGCAGTTAAAGCATGAGAGGTAGAGTACACCAAAGACTGGCTGAAAATGAAAGAACAAACAAATTAAATAAATTAATATGAAATATGTCTGAATTAAAAGAAGAGTCATAATTATGTGGCATTGGCCAGTCACTGGTCAAGCTGAAAATGGTTTGATTCCATCCACTGATGAAGTAGGTGCATGCCTAATTTGAAGTATCACAATTTTCACTCAACATAAAGCAGTATGATGTGCCTAAATGAGCTGTTCAAAACTCAATAGAGAAGTGAAGGGCAACCACCAAGACAATGGCATCCATGATTTGTGCTCCTCTTTTTATAATTACACCAGTTAGAGCTACCTACAAGTGTTACATATCACCAAGTGACCTGCCTCCAAGGAAGCCAGATGGCCAGTAACTGAAATGAGGAAGGGGAAAAAAAAAACAGTTGATTTTTGGGAACATGTCCTTCCTATCTAAACAAGTATTTCTCCAGGGTCGTGTAGCCTTAAATTTTAATGAGCAAGCGATACTTTAGCAAACATACATGCCATTTTCTAGAACATCTGGGTTTAAAATATGGGTTTAAAGTGCAGCAGAATAAAAGGTTTACCCAGTACTTTAATAGTATGTTAAGCACATAAAACAAGGGCACGTTAAAGAAAAGGAAAACATAGTATTCCAGTTTTGATGTAGTGTGTAAATACTGTATTGTAGAAAATCACTTCACTACATAGAAAAACATTTCAAAGGAGTCCCATTCCTTTAAAGACTATCAAAGGCTGTTTCTGTCTGTGTGACAAATACATTTCTCCCCTTACCCCCATGTGAATTAAAGTGTCAGCGGCCAGTGAAAGTATTCATTTTGCTTCATGCCTGACTAATCAATTTAGCAAGTGAGTAAACAAGTGAGTAACTTCAGCAAGACAGTATGAAAGAGGAGAGAAGAAAAGCTGAACGGCAATGCTGTTGGGAGGCTATGAGATTTTTAAACCAATGAGTCTTGAGTCATAGCTCTGTCAAAAAAAAAACACAAAAAAAAACCCAAAGTGCAAAGTCATTTTCTTTGAGTAAGCTCCATTCAGTGAAAGAAACACTATTAGTATTCACAGCTGGTATCAATAAGTAATTCTGCCCCCCCCCCCTCAGATAAAGGGTAAATAAGTGCTTCCAAAAACAAAAAAAAAACATACAAACACACACAGCAGAATACATGTAGCATACATGCAAGGGGGAACAAAATTAATAAGCATTAAAGCTGTATTGCAAACCACACAGGGTGATCTCAGTAATACCCAGCATATCATTTGTAATCACATTCATTTATCTGTGATTCTGTAGAGTTCAGTAGAAAAACTAATATGTGCATACCATTAGAGATCAGACTTTCAGTAAATATACAAATACTCATCAGAAAACAAATTGTATCTTGTCACACACAAAGTAATGCAGCTTTGCTTCCTTTAGTAGTAATTCATGGGTAAAAAAAAAGTATTTGCCAAACTTGCTCTTGAGACGATATAGTAAACCTATGCTCAGTGAAAGTAGTGCAAATAATTACCTCGGAATGATGGTTTAAACATAATTTAACAATAAAAGTGTGACAATAGTGTGAGTCATACCTCGCATTCTCGGGAGCCTGAGATGGTATATGTGCATGGTCCAGTTCCATTGACAAGCACATCCATGGCCTCAGAATTGTTGGGCTTGTAGTCCACATAGTACTCCTGCAGGGGAGAGCTAAGTGTGCGCTCTGTCTCTCTAGGTTTCTTGCGACGTTTGCGTGCGGCTGCTGAGTGCTCCTGCAGCTGCTTGACGCTGTTAGGATAGCGTTTCCAGGATACGTAGATTACCAACAGGATCATTGCAACAGAAAGAAAAAGAGCAACACTTCCGGCCACAATCTTATGGAAAGACACAGGCTCTAACTCTTGCTCTGGAGGAACGACAACTGGTGGGGTAACCGCTAATGATGTAGGACCCCTAAGAGATCCCTCAGCCCTCTTTCCAGAGCTAGTTGGTAAAGGCAGAATAGATGGGTTGTGCTCCGTTTGAACAGGATTGCTGGATAGGTTTGAAGGAATACTCGCTGTGAGTGTTGATGCCTGGTTTGATTGACAAACACCAAAGGCTTCAACAGCATCCATAACTTTTTCTCCTTGGGCTTTCTTGGGAGAGGCACAAATCATGGTCGTCTCCTTTGCCCCTCTAAAGTTTCTTAGCCAGCCCACCAGAGGACATATTGCTGAGCTACAGTCCCATACATTTCCAGCTAAGCTAATCATAGTCAAGGAGATCCAAGCATCAACTGCCTCTTGAGAGACATTGGCCAGCTTGTTAGAGTCCAAATTGAGAGTTTGCAGCTTTGGTAAGCATTGGTAAACCACAGCATCTACTTCTGTCAGCTCGTTTCCTGACAGATCCAACTTCTGGATGGAGGCCCAGGTCCACGTAAGCCCCTGGCTCATAGAACGAATACGATTCCATTGCAGGTAAAGAGCCCGCAAATTGTAGAGGCGAGGGAAATGAGAGAAGTTGATCTTGGAGAACTGATTGTGCTCCATGTGCAGCTCAGCGAGTTTGACAAGGCCCAAAAAGGCATTGCGTGTGATGCTTCGCAGTCGGTTGTAACCCAGATCAAGAAATTCGAGATTTCTGCAGTCTTGGAATAGACGCGTTGGAATAGTTTTTAGAGAATTTGACCGTATATGAAGACTGAGGAGTTTCCGTAAACCTTGGAATTGCCCAGACTGCAAAGCTTGTAGTTTATTGTATGACAAGTCCAGATTACGTAAATTTGGGACAGGATGGAATGTGGTGTTGTGGAGCATTGTGATCTTGTTGGAACTTAGAATCAGCTCTTTAAGCCTTCGGATCCCCTGAAAGGCCATTCCATCCACAGAGGCAATGTAATTATGGTCCAAGTAGAGCCATATAAGGTGGTTGAGGCCAACAAACTGGCCTGCACGAAGATTGGAGAGGCTGTTGTACCGCAGTGAAAGGCCTTCACAGCCTCCTGAGAGGTTTTTAGGGACGTCACGAAAGGCGCTCGACTCACAATACACAATTTTTCCATCACAGCGACAACTCTTGGGGCACTGGCGCTCACTGAGTGATGGATTTGCTGCCAGCCACACCTGCATCAGGAGTTGGAAAACTAGCCAGCGACGCCGCAGAGCAGAGCCTATAGTGATAGGAATAGGGGTAAAGGAGAAGAAGAAGAAAAACAATAAGAAAATGAACTATTTGTGAACAATCTATATCTATCTATATCTCTCTCACACATATATATATATATATATATATATATATATAATTTTAAATATACATTGAGAATTACACACTCCAAGGGAATTAATAATAGTTCAATTATTAAAATTGTGTTTTTTTTTAAGCCCATATATTTTTTTTGTTTGTTTGTTTTGTTTAGGATCAAGATTAGAAGACGACAAAAGATTTGAGAACAGGCACGACAAAGACATTAAACATTAAAACATTTAAAAAAAAAAAAAAGTTACAGAAGACAAGCCTAGGAAGCTTTGACATTTTTTTAGCTAAAGCTTCAATTGTATCCCACAGAAAAGGTATATGCTCATGAATATGGATAGTTTATTCATTTTATTTTATTTTAAATAATGAAATTCTTGCAAATTTATAAAAAGAAAAATAAGCATTTCATGTTAGTCTGTAGTATTTTGAATAATGTTTATTTAGGGTAAAAATAATGTGCACGTTTTCAAAATCTTTTTTTAATTTTATGTTTTTATTTTTATTGTTACATCAACACTATTTAATATTACAATTAGTTTTTTATTTCCATATGCTAATTTCAGTCATTTCCTAACCATCATAATTAAGTCCCAATCATTAACCTTCACCTTTACACTTTCACATTAACCTAAAAATCCATAAAGCTGGCTAGAAAAAAGAAAAATAAATTAATAAATTGAGATCTCAGAAATGTAGAAAACATGAATTTATTCTACTACTGCAGTGATATGTACAATTTCACAATGTTTACAAGATATATTTATTATTTCTGATTTTTTGAAAACAAAACAAAAAATAGAAAAGGAAAGCAAATTATTTAGTCTGAATTTGTTCCACTTAGTTTTGGTTCCTTGGTTCTCTCTTTGGTTGAACAGGAAATGGCTGGAAAATACATCCAGGATTGTAAATAGAAATGCCAGTGGTGGAATTCTTGTTTATTTTCTGTACAAACCAATTTGTTCTTGCTACGTATCTGCTTCTCCAATTAGTGTAATGTTTTCTAGTGGAATGATTAAACCTAAATACGGTCAAAGATGTAACAGTAAAAAGTGTCTAATTGATTATTTGTATATTTATGGTAAACATGCAAAGCAAATTACATAGATCAAAACAGCTAATACAGGGAAGTTTGTTGTAAAGTGTCTACACAAAGTTATTTTTAAATGTATATATTCAAATCATACTTTAATAATTGATTAATTTAATCAAATAGCATGTGATAGCAGTCTTAATGATGTTATCAAATACATTTTCAAATTGTCCCGTTTTATTTGTTTTTCTCCACACCTAGTGTCAGAAAAGACTATACAGGTCAACTTTACCTAAAGTGATGATCAAACAAACACGTCTGTAAGAACTGTAGCTTGCTGGTGATCTTGATCATTTACAAACCCACTTAAACTGTTGCTTTAATGGTGTGCAAATTGTCAGTTGCATTACACAAGCAGGTGTTGCTGGTTAAAGATAAATAATCAGTCTCCAAACAAGTAATCCCCGTCATTTCATGTGCATCCACATTTTACCACTTTGTAGCAGCCATCCATCCTAATTACAAGCTTAGGAACTGAGCATATTGATTTTTCTATTAGGAAGAATGGGCAAAGAAAATGTAACCAGAATGAGACTTTGTAGACATACAAGCTGAAGCATTCTGGGTCTAAATGTGGACTTGGAATTCCTCCTAAATCTAAATAAAATATTATTATAATTATGAAGTTTAATTTATTTATTTTTATTATTATTATTATTTTAATTGTGTTGTTCTTAAGCCTTGATGACTCTTATAGCCCATAAAGGAATCTCTCTCATTTTGTCTATACTTGTGCTCATATTTTATACATTCAAAATCAATCATCCTCATGGATGATTCCATTATAAGAGCATGGTTGCAGGAGAACTACCTGATTGGTGGACTACTGTATGTCTCTGAAACAACCTAAATTTGACTAATCTTCTTACCGAGTATGGCATGTATGTCAAAATGCTTAAGGGTTTCAACTAGTCAAGATGACCATTAAATAGTAAAGCAATGACTTTGGAAATAAAGCTATTTTAATTGTTGTAAACAGAAAGTGTGTTGGAGCATATCAGTGCACAATAATTAAAACTGTGCCACTAAAAAAACATTCCAGGTAGCAGCTGCAATGTGCCTTTAGATCTCTGTTCTTGGTTAAAAGGTAATGGAACTCTCCTTATCATGCCCCATCCATGAAAATGTTGCTGCTATTGGTTATAAGTTGCTTTTCTAGAGTGCTGCAACCTTCCTGATTATTTTTGCCCAAAGCAGTGTCTGTCACTTTATTTTCATAAGAAGGAGTTTGCTCACACCGTATACGGAAAAAAAAAAAGACAATAAATAAGTAAATGCAATTCTGAAAGTGTGAAATTCCTATATTTGGTATGATGCTCGTGCCCTGCTTATTCATTTGATTTATTGCTACTCACCACTCCCATCCGATTACCTAATTGAACAACTGGGTGAATAAATTGGTGTACAGGTGTTCCTTATAAGTAGCACCTATATACCCATGCCGTTGCACCTGCACATATTGGGGCTGGAAAATACTGTGCATGATTAAGTGCAGTATACAAAATCAAAATCAAACAAAACAAAACAAACACAAAAACTGACCAATTTAGGAAAACAGCATCTACGTATAATGATCAAGAGTATCTCATAAAGAAATAGTGTGCAACACTGACCAATGATTAATTTAAAGCCTGGAAGTCTGCCATGCGTTTTACTTGCATTACATCATTGATGGGTTAGTGAAACTGAGAAAAACACCAGGAAATCTGGAATTGGTTGAGAGTAGGGGAATCAGGTCACAGTGGTCACTTGTGCCCATATTCAACAGTCACTGTGCAAGAGGTGGGGGACTCCCTGGACAAAGTTGAAATTACATCACAGGAACACATTGAGGCAAACGAGACAAACAACCAGTCACAATCTCACTCACACCTGGGGACAATGTAGAGTTACCATTTAGCCTAACATGCATGTTTTTGGTCTGTGGGAAGAAATGCGAGTACCTGGAGAAAACCCATGCATGCCCAGCGAGTACATGCAAACTCCACCCAGGAAGGTCCCCCAGCTGTGTTTCAATCATGCAACATTGTCATTGAGAGACAGTAGCTCTACCAACTGTGCCACCATGCTGCCCTATATTTAGGTTAAGTTATAAAATTAGATATAAAATAATATCATATTTAAGACTTGAAAGGGAAATCAAACTGATTTCATGTGAAAGACAAATCCTGAAAACGCAGAACAAAGATATCAAGGCAAATGGTGAGGCATGGAGGTCAGTAACTTGATTTTGTATCATTATGTTCTTCTTGAATGAATGTTCTTCTTGTATTGCTTTATGTGGAACTGAGTTACTTCCATTGAAATTGTTCCCCTTTACAGAGCAACTAATGGTGTGTCATTAAGACGCATTGATTTCCCCTAGAGGGGATAGTATGAGCTGCACTGCTGATGTGTGTTTCTGAAAGCAGTACCGTCAAGTATGGGATTTATTACCACAATCACACTGAGATAAGATTAATATTTATTGATAGAAGTAGTGAGTAGTATTTTTAGCTTAAATTGTGCTTACAAGTGCCATGCCAAGTACATGTCTATGTTAAAAAGTGCTTCCTTATGTGTCAGTGATGATGAGCCTCTTATAGAAACATGAAAATCTGTAGACTTTTTGGAAACTTGTAACACAGTTACAGTAAGACATTTAAGCATAACTGGAGTTTGGGGGAATCTCAATAATCTTTTCTGGATTTGTCAGAAGTAAGTGCCTGACACAGAGTTGCTTAGAGGCATCATATGACATATGGTATCTAACATAGCAATTTCACTCACTGCCAAGCATCTGCTGATCCCATATGGGTATTGCATGTGTATTTGTTGGTGTCTAACAGTGTGATGCGAAGAAAAAAAACAAAAAAAACACTGTTTGTTTTCCGGCAATTCTTCCATCATTCCTTACAGATGGAGAGAACCAAGGAACTATGCAGATAATTTGTGCTGGATATTGATTATACCAGCAGCAACATCAATCATGTTTCCTCAGTCTGGATCTGAGAATTGTGATACTTTAACATACACAAAAGACAGGGATTATGAGATGCAGCAATTCTGAACGCAGCCAATTTGTTTCCTCTAAGGCTTACAAAATAAATAAATAAAAAAAAAAATGTAGGTAGAAAAAGAAAGTGAAAAGTAGTATTGTAGAAGAATGCCCAAGTGTAATGTTCCATGTGCATTCGAAACAATCAAAATCGAAAGCACTTTTTGAAGGTAGAACATAATGTGTGGGCTGTTAGACATGACTAGAGTTTTTATTTTTGGCTCGTATCTCAACAGGATGTGGAAGCAACATCGCTGTTTTCCCCATATGCAAAATATACTTGCATTATTAGAAGTGACGGGAACATCTCTTAAAGAAAGAAGCATCTTCACCAGACACCACTCTCCCTTTACTGACACTGCATATGGCTTAATGAGACATCTATGAGCTAATGCCTCTGTAAGCCATCACCTTCCCCACTCCTCTTCTAATCTTATTCACAAAGCAGCACAAGTCACCCTCCCAGGTGTCACTCAAGGGGTTTCTGTCTCTATTACCTCTTACCGGAGACACTTTTCATCATTACTGTTCCTTTGCTCCTGCTTCATTTGATGATACTGCAAGGATTTTTTATTTCTTTCTTTTCTTCCATCCCATTAAATTTAGCATGCCCTTGAACCCTGCTGCCATCAGGATGTTGTCCTGATGTGAAGTCTATTTTATTTTTAAATAGTTAAAACAATTTTAGTTTGCATCTTCCATACAAACTCCACATCCAACTTACTTTTCTTCTCGCATACTTTTTTAAAGCATCCTTTATCCTTAACCTTTTCTTAACTTTTCGTTCCTATATCTGAAGATATATTGATATTTATCATTGCATTTATTTTGTTATTTTGCTTTTAATTTTCATATTCATTCCTCACAATCAAGATTAATAAGAACAACTTAAGTTGTCTGTAGGCATGTGTGCTACACTTTGTTATGCAGCAGACAGCACTGCTGTCCTCAGCAAAGGAAGATGGCTATTTCTGCCTCTCAACCCTAACACATAGAGAAAGTAAGTGCACTTTACTGCTGACCTAAAATAAAACCAAATGCAGCCTAATAACTTGGCAAATGGACTCACTAACTGGCGCACTTTGAGCGCACACGAGTGGCTCATTGCAATTTGCTGCCTGTCATTGACAAAACTGCTACCAGCTTCGGCCATGACTCTACAAAGGCTGGACAGAAGCCTAACACATAAGTAAGGATGTCCTCCAAATTAGCCCAAGCCAAATCATTAGTCCCCAATTATAAATATAATAGAAAACTCTGCAAAGCTGGACTTATTTCTTTCATGGTGTGCTTTTAGTATGTGTTCTTTGTAGACTGGTTAGGTAGAACTCCACAGTAAGGATCATAATTATTGTTCACAAATATGCTTAAGGCTTATTGCTGTCAAAGTTCACAATATAATAAAGTGGTTATATAATAGAATCACATCATTATATCCACCCATCTTTAAAACGGTTAAATGTGGAGGTGCTGAATGACTTCTAGACTTAATAACTGGTGGTGGCAATATATTAAACTCTTGTTTGCCAGTGGAGAATTAATAGAAACAAATTGATACAAAAAGGATATGAGGCTCAATTTTATAAAAATATTGTGTGTAGTTTGTATAATGATTGGTCCCCAAGCACTTCTGTAATATCTTGACTCACTCACATAAGCAACCCCAGAGCACAGGGGTGATTTGTGACATAGAGCACTCAGTGAGAGGCAGAAAACAATGGTTTGACAAATTTGTTTCAACTACCTGAACTTGGAAAAAGAGGATGTTCAAGATCTCCAGTTCACAGCCCAAATTAGAGTATTTGTGATGTTTGCTTTGTTGCAGTTTTCAGGCCTGCACTATGTGTTGTACAGTCCTGTTAAACTGACATGATGCATTAGTGAGGATTGAAGTTCCATATTGAATACACGGAATACATTAAATACAAACTAAACCACTTAAGTTTTCAAGAATTATAATCAAAATGTAATAGTGATTGCATTTACTTCAGAATTCTACATGAATAAATTGTCTTCTATCCATTATTTTTACACACTTATTCCTTTTTGGGTCCCGGGGGTCACAGGTGCTTACTGTATATCCAGCAGTCACTGTTCAAGAGGCAGGGGACACCGTGGACAGGCCGCAAGTCCATCACAGGGACACAGAGACAACTAAGACAACCATTCACTCTCTCACTCACACCTAGGGACAATTTAGAGTTACCAATCAGACTAATGTGAATGTTCTGGTCTGTGTTATGAAACCGGAGTACCCGGAGGAAACCCACACATGCACGGAAATAACATGCAAACTCAACCCAGACAGGTCCCGGGCCAGGATTTGAACTGGGGACCCTCTTGCTGAGAGGCAGCAGCGCTACAAAAAGCAGATAAAGTGCCGGATAAATGATCTTATTTCATATGTAAGTAAGACTCATCATTATCACAAAATCACTTTTACAGAATTTATTAGTTTACATAAAACAAAGGACCACTGTGGGCAGTTATTTTGTTTGGTATTGTTTATTTTATTTTTTTGATTGTGCACTGAATTGCATGTTAGTTTAATCTGTCTGGGAAAACCAAGAAGTCATTTAAAACATCCCTAAACGTGTCGTGTCTCTAACATGGTGCAGTGAGAAAAAACAGAAATTTACGAAACAAATGCAAAATAATGTTTCATATTGTGAAGGGTTTTCCTAGATGTCCATGCATTTTGCTCAAAACATTTCATGGCTCCTAAAAAAAATAAAAATAAATAACAACAACAACAACAAAACAAACCACAGTTTAGTGCCTGCACCCTAGATGGAAAGTCGAAATTTAAATAAATAAAGAAAATAAAATCTAGATGTTATATATAACTTGTGAATGGTTAAAACTATAGTGTCTCCAACAAAAATGGAAGTAGATCATCAAGCCAAACATACACTGGATTAGTTCACTACCAGCCCACTGACATTCAAATAAACTATTTTTTAAGTGATTCATGAGGCTCGTTAGACTTAGTTTGGGACGGACTGTGTTGTGTTTTCCTAAAGCATTGGGTGAGAATATATATATATATATATATATGTAGTTTAAAGAAAAGTGCTGTGTCAATGTCACAAACTTGTAAAGAAGTGTGCAGACTGGACCACTAGTGCCAACTAAAAAACAAGGGCACAATATGGATGCTGTGTGTAAAGTCACTTACAACCTATTGATTTTTCCTGAGAATAAATTAGTAAATATAAAAGAAACATGTTGCCCTTAAGAGCCTGTTAAACTCATCTTTGCACCTGTTTCAATTTATTTTTTGAACAGTTCTGCCTGATGGATGTGAAGAGGCCAGTAGGAAGTTATCTATCGCCACTGCTGCTCTGAACCTACATAATGTTAGCATGACAGACATTTTTATTTTCTGTAACTCTGACATTTCACACAGCATCTCTGTGTTTAAATGTGGAGTGTGAAATGTCATATCTCTAAATCCATCTCTCAGTTCTGCACTTTCCAGCGCACTGTTCTCTCTCCAAGAGGCATGTCTCTAATGATATGGTCCATGAAACTTAAGTGCATTGCATGCTGCTAATGAAGAGGCTCACAATGTGCTTCTTCAGTGACATAAACAAGCATTAGAACAGTGTAATCATCAATTAATTCTAGGATATGTGACTATATATTGTCAATAGTTGGGATTAAGAGTTATGCACATGGCTTTAAAAGGAAGGCATCCCTTCATAGAGAGTCCCAATGTCAATGTGCCTCAGAGAGACCTGTCTTGTTAATTTAAGAATCACACAAGTGTCCTGTGCAATCTACCAAATGAGGGGACTCCTCCAGCATGAAGTGCACAGGGTGGTGCGTTGTTATATCTTATATTGATGTGGTGCAGAAACCTACTGTGGGTCGATACACTGTGCGGCTTTACAATTAATGGCACAGCACGACCAATGAACTCGATTATCAATGTTCAGGTTAGGAACGGCAGAGAAGATAAGGCGTCACATCAGACCAAGTGAATGGAAGGAGAAGAGAGGGGGTGTCGGAGAAAAAATGGAAATATTGAGCACAGAGCGGTGCTTAAGTGAGAAGATGGGACGCAAAGCATGGCAAGGGGGTGGCTTGTGGGTGGGTGACTTTGCACACGCATATAAAAAGGGGAACAGGAGGGTCAATGGTGACTAGGAGAGAACAAGAATGAAGAACGTGCACACACACACACACACACACACAAGGTCAATTTATTTATTAGTGTATGTTTTATCATATCATATATGCAGTGCATGACCTGTAGCTTAAATCTCATTTTAAAGGGAAGGTGCTTAATGTGATTTATGCAAATAATAATAATAATAATAATAATAATAATAATAATAATAATAATAATAATAATAATAATAATAATAATAATTCAGTCATGAAGTGGATTCTGCTCAAGTCTTGCTTTTAGATCCAACGAGTTTTGGCGTCATTAGCACTGGACAGCGACTGGACAGCGACTGGACAGAGACATGCGTCCAAACTGGGCAATGAATGATCATTCGGAGCCACGCTTTGCAAAGTTGACTGCTTCTCAACATGTGACGTGATTTGCATCTTGATCCTATCAATCAGCCTTAGGTCCACTTTAACTGGACAAGAGGACAACGGGTAGTTTTAACTTGATTTTGCATTAATTAGTCTTAAAAATAAAATAAAAAGCATACCATTGATACAGGAAGAGGGGGGGGGGGGGGGGGTACGTTGCAGCTCTGCGACTAATTGGCAGCAGTACAGGTTTCAGCCACATTCCACAAGCTTCCCAGTTCAATAAAACCACCAGAAGACGAGAAGAGTGCGGAGGAAACGAGCACATTTGACTCCCGGCATTAGAACTATACGACGTTCAGCACTGCGTTATGAGCAAAACAATAAAAAGAAAGAAACAACAAAAAGAGAGAAAGATAAATGAGGTGGGGGTGGGGGAGTTGAAGTGGCGGATTTATCGCAATCCACGCTACCAAAAGAAACTGACACACAAACTTACCCATATCCGCTTATCTGTTAGCTCCAGCCTACAGGTTTTAATGGCTTCCAGTGCGCGAGATCCGAGTCGGCATGATGCGCTCTCCACAGACAGGTATCCTCCTAATCCTCTGGTCCGGTCTCCACGCGCAGCTGCCGACTCCAAAGCGCACCTGCTCTCTCCTCTACCGGACCTGGACGCTTGATCCGGTTTAGTTCTGCATCCAGAACCGCGCAAGTGGACCGGAGCAAATGTCATTTACTTCCAACTCCAGATTGAAGAAAAAAATAAAAATAAAATCCGGCTTCAGAACTCCCTATCCATGCCTTTCGCAGCGCAATCGGTCCCCCTTGTATTTATTATTTATTATTTTCCCCAAGTAACTGACAGAAGCAGCAATGCAGCAGACGCAGACAATAACGATGCCACATCCAAGTGAGTCATGTCAGTCTTAAAGAGGAAATCCGTGAACGAAAAACTTCATAAAAACTGGACATGATGCAGAAAAAAAAAAGAAAAAAAAAAGACACCCGAATGTTATTTCTCCATGAGCAGCAGTCAGATTGCTGGTGCGTCCGTGTTCTAGAGTATCCTCGATCCGCGCATGACGCACAGAAGTGGCAGGTTATTCCCAAGTCAGTAGGGAACGCTGACTGTCATGGGAACGGCATCCGAATATCCACCTTCATCTCCATATGCTCCGATGTTCGTTTGGTCCTTGCTGTTGCTCAGTTTGAAATGCAACATGACGCCGTTGTTAATCACGCCTGCATGTCAGAGCAACTTTGTCAGGCAGAAGCGGAATGCCCTCTTCTGGTGAGACTGCACGATCCAGCAGCTTGTCCAAAAGGGCTGCATCACGAGCTGAAAAGTGGGAGGTTAGTAGAGGGGGCGAGGAGGAGGGGGTGAATGGTTTTCAAAGCAAGGTCTTCTGAGAACAATCCCAGCATCCAGTTATGAGCAAATAACGAGGCCTCATGTTAAAGGACTTATTCAAATGTGGGGCAAAAAAAAAAAAAAAAAAAAAAAGTTAGATACAGGGGGCGCAAGGTGGATACGTTGGTAGAGCTGTTGCGTCTCAGCAAGAAGGTCACTGGTTCAAATCCGGGCCCGGGACATTTCTGGGTGTATTTGCATGTTCCCTCTGTGCATGCGCGGGTTTTCTCCAGGTACTCCGGTTTCCTCCCACGCACCAAAAACATGTATGTTAGGCTGATTAGTAACTAAATTTGTTCCGTGAATGATAATGTGTTTTGTTGTCTCTGTGCGTCCTTGTGATGGACTGGAGACCTGCCCAGGGTGTCCCCCGCCTCTCGCACAGTGACTGCTGGACATGGGCACCAGTGACCCCCACGACCCGAAAAGGAAGAAGCGGGTAAAGATGATGGATGGATGGATGGATGGATGGATGGATGGATGGATGGATGGATGGATGGATGGATGGATGGGTAAAGATGATGGATGGATGGATGGGTGGATGGATGGATGGATGGATGGGTAAAGATGATGGATGGATGGATGGGTAAAGATGATGGATGGAAGTTAAATGCAGGGAATTTAAGTATAGCGCTCTCCATGGTGCTGAACTGAGTCAGTTCATTAAAATAAGCTTTGGAATCACTGAAGGTCAGTTTTGATAGAAAACAGCAACATTAGTGAAAACATCAGTATTGTTTTGTTGATGGTAATAATTTTGTTGTTAACAACGGCAACAACAACAACAACAGTAATTCAATTTTCTGCTAAAATCTAGTGTGAATGCTGAGTGCTGACTGGCTATTTGTTAAAGAAGCTAAAACTTAAAGTTAAAATGTGCAGAACACTAACAAATATCTAACTGTAGCAAGAGGGTAGCTAAAAAGGTAAAAGCAGCATAAAACGAGGATCAGAGCTAAAACTAACAAACGTCTAAATAAAAACTTAAAAGGAGTAAAAAAATATCAATAGCAGTCACATTTTAGCTGAATGTAACACAAGTAACCTAAAAATAACAAAATGTTGGCTAAAAGTAGCAAAATGCTAGCTGTATTCTGTAAAGCACTTTGTGGTTTCTGACCTGTACATGGTGCTATATAAATACAATTTACTTAAGTAAAAAAATATATAAAAAGTATATATAGGTTAAAAAAATGTTTGCTAAAAGCTAAAAAGTTGCAGACAGTAGTGAAAAGTAAATGCAGAACTATGATATATCAGAGTCAGAGTCAGAGTTTCTTTATTGTCATTCGCACCTCATGTGGTACATGTGGTGGAGCGAAATTATGTACACAGGGTCCCATATAAATACTAAGACTGGCAAAATGAGCTGAGCTGATCCTTCTGATTTTTACAAACATGGAAACAATAGAGTGAATGCTGACAACAATCTAATAATAATGATAACGACGACAAATACGACAATATCAATAATGCAATCTGAATTATACTCAACTTTCTGCACTATTTAACATGTTCTACTTAAGATTCTACTCTAGCCGGTATTGGAAATGTGGTGCCTCTCTGTGCATCAGCTGAGCTGACTTTTTTCAAAGCTTGGCTGTATTTAAGGATGAAATGGGCAGCTGAATATTTAATGTGCATTGCATCTGCTCCAGCTTACTAATCCAAGTTGGCCCTTTCTTCAGCCAGCTCTACAGATGGGTGACAAATTGAAGAATGACAATGATAATAAAAACAAACAAAACAAAACAAAACAAAAAATGTTAAGTGAGTGGAAAGTCAAGGTGAATGCAGATGCTTCCACACAGGTGCATTTCATCGTCCAGTTATGATGTGGCATGCACCGAAACGCTGAGCTAAGCAAACTTAATATACAATTTTACAAGGATGGTAAGAGGATAACAATCTGGATAGAAAGGTTAATTTCTGTTTGGATTCAGGTCAGTGGTGTGCCATTCCAAAAGTATGTTCTGCTTTTATCAATCAATCAACCTGTATTTATACAGGTAAATTCCATTGAGCCTCGAGGACTCATTTACAAGAGAGAGCTGATATTTTAATAAATATAGTTAATCAGAACTCATTTGGACTCTAAAAATGAATGTGGGGCAACACGGTGGCACAGTAGGTAGAGGTACCTCCCCTCAGCAAGAAGGATGCTGGATCGAATTCCATCTATGGACCGTTCTGGGTGGAGTTGCACGTTCTCTCCGTGCATCTGTTTTGCAAGTTCAAACACACACGCGTGCACGCACACACACACAAAAAGAAAGGCAATAAAAACAACCTGCATCATGTAAAATGCAAACCTGAATGTCCAGCAATGTTCAGTCATGTCATCTGGATGGTTTCTTTTTTCGTGGTGAGATGTTTTGTTCTTCATCCAAAAGACTTCCTCAATCTGAGAAGCCTCTAAACAAAACTGATTTTCACAAACAGCATACTCCACAGTGGAAAAAAATGTGTTGGTGCCAAGATGGCCTCCGGGGCCCATGCTCTTCAGCCCCCCGTCAACTCCTCTGAGACATAGTCATACCAAAAAGGTTCCAAACACTAAAGTTCACACTCAATAATCCAGATATAAAATCCAACAATGTTCAGTCAGATTATCTGGACATTTTTTTTTGGTGTAAATACGTTTCATCCTTCATCCAAAGGACTTCCTCAATCTGAGAAGCCACAAACAAAAACAGATCCCCACAAACAGCATACTCCACAGTGGAAGAAAACAGTCTGGTGGTGCTAAAATGGCCTCTGGGGCCCACCCTCTCCCCCATCAACTTTTCTGAGACAGTCGTGCCAAAGTGGTTCAAAAACACCAAAGTTCATGGTCAATAATCCAGGTATAATATTCAACAATGTTCAAATCAGATTTTTTTACACTGTGGAGTCTGCTGTTTGTGGGAATCAGTTTAATTTAGTGGCTTCTCAGACTGAGGAAGTCCTTTGGATGAAGGACAAAACGTCTCAGCACAAATAAGGAAACTGTCCAGATGACCTGACTGAACATTGTTGGATTTCATACTTGGATTATTGAGCGTGAACTTTAGTGCAAACCTGAAGGTGTTTTTTTATTTATTTTTTTTTATTTCACCACATATCAACAATAGTATTTCAATTAGAATATTTGTCCAAGTAGTGCACTAGCCATGGCCTTCATTTGGTCAAAATGTTCTGCAAATCGCAACCACTCAGAGTCAGAGTCAGAGTTTCTTTATTGTCATTCGCACCTCATGTGGTACATGTGGTGGAGCGAAATTATGTACACAGGGTCCCAGTTACATCCAACAATAAAATGTATAAGAAAAACAGTAATGACATCTAAGATATGAACTAAGAAAAACATCAACTAAATATACACTAAGCACTCATAACAATGACAATAACAACAATCATAACAATCATAGCACTCAACAATGGCATGGGTCATGATTAAGACAGAGTTTAATACACCTGAGTGATGGCTGTTCCTATGACAACAGAGTTCATATTTTCTTACATAGATCCTTTAATAATTAGCAATTAGAGGTGGTACACCTGCCCACGTAGTATTGATAATACTCTGAAATGCTCGCAAGTATACAGAGCCCAGCTAAACGGAGCCCGATGTCCTATAACACCATCTTAAGATGCAGCATCTCACATTGCACCTCAGCCCTCTGGATTTGCTTCCATGCAATTTGTCTGATGACTTTTCTTTTGGATTCAGTTCAAGAAGCCAAGGCCATTCTGCTGACGGCGGTGAAACAATTAATACGCTGTGAAGTTATAGAGATGCACACAATGACAGCCAAAAGGAAACAGAGGGGTTAGTTCTCCTTTATGGGACTTAAGATGACTTTTTTGCTTCATCAGTGAATTAATTATCAGTTAATAGATCTAATAAATGTAGAAAAACAAATATATATATATATATATATATATATATATATAATATGAATGTATGCATGTACAGTATGCGTGTATGAATAAATGGATGAATGAATATAATTAGTCAGTCAAGCGCAAACAGTTTGTTCTCAAATCAGAAGCACAGTTAAGTTTTGAAACATCGCTTTAACAAAAATATTCCTTGTCTGGAAGTGTGCTTGTTGCTCAGCAACATTCACAGTATATATTGAACAATTTTTCGGGCTGCAACTGTTGAGA